ACACAGTTCCTCCTTTCATTTATTCAACAGGTATTTATGGGATGCCTACTGTAAAGGGCAATGGATAAAGCCCCTCTCTCTAGGGAGGTAGGTTTTAATATCTGGTTGATATGGGGTGCTTTGGACTACATCGTGTCCTCCCACCCTTCACCACGTTCATATGTGAAATCCCTAACACCCAATGTGACTATATTTGGAGATGGGGCTTATAGGAGGTAATTAGGGTTAAAGGTGGTCATAAAGATGGGGTCCAAATCCAATAGGATTAGTGGCTTTCCAAGAACAGGGAGAGAGAGAAATCTCTCTTTCCACAAGCACACACCAAGCAAAGGCCATGTGAGGACACAGTGAGAAGGCAGCTGTCTGCAAGCCAAGAAGAGGGCCCTACCAGAAATAAATCATGCTTAGAGGGTCAGAGGGTCCGACAGAGGCATCCCAGGGAAACAACACCATAAACTGATCTATCTTCCTCTCCCCACACCTCTGCGAGGCAGTTCATCCAGCGATGCTGATTTTGAGCATCGCCGTGGCTGAACTACACAAGCAGGATTACTCTATTCTTAAAGATTCCCAGTTGCTGGTTTCAGAACTTAATCCTCCTTGCACATTAGAAATGCCTCCTTTAGTGAAATTGTAAAGTTCTCTTACCACATGTAATAAAAAAAAATCTTCAGGTACAGAAGGGAAAGGCCTATATAGCCTGGGCTGGGCATGGTGGTTCACACGTATAATCTGAACTCAGGAGGCAAAGGCGGGAGGATTGCCGGAGCCAAGGTGTTTGAAGCCACAGTGAGCTGTGATCATGACACTGCACTCCAACCTGAGCAACAAACCAAGACCTTGTCTCTAAAACAAAGAGAGCAAGAGATGGAAGGAAGGAAGGAAGGAAGGAAGGAAGGAAGGAAGGAAGGAAGGAAGGAAGGAAGGCAGGCAAGCAAGCCTGTTGTGTGGCAGGTACCTCACAACGATCCTGTGAATAGACATAATTCTATTCATTTTACACACTAAAATGTTGAGGTTCAGAAAATAAGTAAACTGCTGAAGGTAAAATTGCAATTTGAGTCTCTCTCCAAATCCAAAGCAGGTGTTTTTTCCCTTAGACTGTCTTAACCATGGAAATTAAGTCTGGTCAAGCACGGCAAACCCAGAAATTCATCCAAAACATACTGTGGTATAATCTAGGCCAGTTTTTTTCAAATTGTAGGTTGTCAGTTTAGAGGGTTTCAATTAGCATTTTTTAATGAAAGAAGAGAGTAGAGTGGAACAGGAAATATCACATGTATTAAAGTATTGTTTCAGGAAATTTTTATTATAATTGTGCACATGTGTGTACAGGCTTGTAACTTGAGTAACTTCCATTTCATGAGTAACAAATGTAAAGCCACAGCTCCAAGTTTTTTTTGATCAGTAACCAATCACCAATCAATAACTTTTTGGGGCCAGGCGAGCTGGCTCAAGGGGGTAATCCCAGCACTTCAGGAGGCTGAGGCGGGTGGATCACGAGGTCAAGAGATCGAGACCATCCTGGTCAACATGGTGAAAACCCATCTCTACTAAAAATACAAAAAATTAGCTGGGCATGGTGGCACGTGCCTGTAATCCCAGCTACTCAGGAGGCTGAGGCAAGAGAATTGCCTGAACTCAGGAGGCGGAGGTTGCGGTGAGCCGAGATCGCGCCACTGCACTCCAGCCTGGGTAACAACAGTGAAACTCGATCTCAAAAAAATAAATAAATAAAAAATAAAAAAGATAAAAAAATAATAACTTTTTTGCCCCTTGAATTCAAGAGTTTGAGTGCCTTGCTGTGTCCAGAGCTGATCACCTTCAAGGAGCTTTATCTTCCAAATACAAATTGTATCTTAGGAAGTGATGCTGTGGACTTTTATCTTAAAGAGCCAAGTGTTCTACCACCACGTATTTTCCAAATGCAGTTTGGGGTTGTAATGTATGTTCTTCCGACCCAGCCCTCCAAAATTACCCCACACTGATGAATTTGAAGATGGCACCACAACCAGGTTAAACTTCTCTTAGACAACCAGCATTCCCGCTGGTGCTGCTTGCCAAATGAATAAGCGTGCCCAGGCCCCTAGTTCTGGAAACAGACCCAGGTGGAGGAATCTCTTGTTAGCACTGACATCTGTTGGTCATTGAGAGGCCAGCACCCCAGCATCTTGAACTTAAAGAAAGATACCCACCTGGGAACCACACACCAACCCTGACTCCAGCAGAGTTGATTCCTCATCCCCCTCCTCTCCTGGACCACCTCCCTTTTCCATGTAGCTGAACTCAGCAAGGTGGGGGGAAAGAGCAAGGATTTAAAGTCGGATGCAGCCAGGGTCTACAACCTAACATGTGATCCTGGGTAAATTACCTAAACTCAGTAAGACTCAGCAGCAAAATTGGGATAAGAAAACAATCTGCAGTGGGCATTGGGGTATCTTTAACTCTCCAAACAACTTTTTTGATGTTAAGTTCAAGACACTTATTAAGCATCCAAATATTAATTCCCTTCTTCCTCCAGTCATTTTATTTAAGGCACTCTCTAATCCTTCAAAGTCTAGAGTCCCACTTCCTTTCCATCACTTTTGCCCGGCTGACTCCATTGAAATAATAGCTAACATTTATGGAGCACTTACTATATGAGTCAGGTGTTGTTCTAAGAGATGTGCATCGTTAAAATCAAGCTATGTCAGCCTTCTGAAGTCAAGACCATCATCTTCCCCCTGTTTTTATTGGTGAGGAAAATGAGGTGGGGTGAGTTTAAGCAGGTTGTCCAAGGCCACAAGTCTTGGGCCTAAATTTTTAAACCCAACACTGTGTAGCTCCAGAGGGAACACTCTTAAACTTTGAGCTGAATTTGACTCTTTGCACTCTGTTGTAATAATAGCTAATGTTTACTGAGTGCTTATTAAGTGCTGAGTTCTTTATATGTATTATCTCATCTAATCTTTACAAAAATCATTATTATCATTATCTTCATTCTACAGATGAAAAAAACTGAGGTTAAATGATCCACCTGAGGTCATGAAGTCAACAAATCTTTGTTCCCATTTGTTGAGTTCATGACCTCAGGTGGAATTCCAACTTGGATCATTGGATTCTATAGGTTTTGGCTTTAAACATCCTTCTCCTGGAGGGGATGCTGGAGTCATGTAGTTCTAGCCTCCCAAAAAGCCTGGGTTCTCGAAGGCAGAGCAGTCTCTGCTGGTAGAAGGCACTTCCTTGCCAGATGGTTGATGACAGTGATGGTGACCTGGCCACACTGGTGAGGCCAGTCCAGCCTTTGTGGCTGTATAGTAGTGAAGCTTCAAGGAGAGGCCAATGACTCTCAGGTGACTCTCAACGGATTTCCTGTCCAGTGTCTAAAGACAAGGGACAATGATACTGACACTAAGAAAGCTCTTAATTCAGTGTGCCGTCCCTGACATGGGTTATTGTCATTCCCTTGCTGACACCAACCAGTGGCTTCTCATGGCTCCAGGACAGCCTAAACTCCTGCACAGAGTGTCAGGGCCTCTGATTACTGAACTCCTGCTTCCCTCTCCATCCCCATTTGCAACTCTCACCTCTGTCAGAAGGAAATATCAGCAGAACGAAATTGCCCCCCATGGCACTGGGCTCTTCTGACTCCAGGCCTTAGTTACAGCTGCTGGTCCTCACCTGGAAACTCACCTCCCTACCCCAGCTGTCCCCTCACACCCCAAACCACTCTGCCCACCTCCTTGCCTTTCCAGACCCCTCTTTGTTCCCCTTGGCCTCCTGGGTTACTGCTATCATGGCAAAATCTGGTCTGTCTCACCAACTGTATGCTTCATTAGGGCAAAAGTGGGTGTCTTTAAAACCATTGTACCCCAGTGCCTGGCATGGAGTAAAAAAAAATAAATTTAATCATATATATATGTACATATATATATATATATATATATATAAAATGCTGAATTCCAAATGACCGTTATTAGCATCTATTTGAGTGCTTCGCCCTTCCCCTTCCATTCTTTCCCAGTACAGGTGTTATTGGCATTTTTGGTGAGACAATTCATAAGGTGAGATTGCCCTGAAAACTGCAGGCATTTGACATCCCTGACTCCTGACACCAGATGCTGATAGGTCCTCACCCCTCTGCCATCCCCATCACCCTTTCCGATTTTCCACCTCATTGCTGTGACAACCAAAAATATAACACCTTTACATATTTTTTAACATCCTCGGAGAAGTGTCTTCCTCAGAACCACTGTAGCTAAAAGGCATTTCTGATTTGGATGGAACACACTTTCCTTGAATCGGGCATTCACGATGTTTATGGAAAGTTTTCATTTCATCTCTAATGCCATTGCTTCTGTATATTTATAATGCCATTGCTTCTGTATATTTATAATGCCATTGCTTCTGTATATTTCACTTCTAATGCCCTTGCCTGTCATGTGTATGCTCCAGGAGACCCTCTTGGGTGACTGAAGTTGAGCTGTGTAGCAATTACATTGCCATGATATGAGTCTGTCCATGATAGAGATAAAGAGTAAGGAGGGAAGAGGAATCCACAGAGACAAAAACGTTGATCACCTTGTCAGGACAGAATGACAATAGTATTCACCTTTCTACTTGATCAACTTAATGAAAACAATAAAATTCTTTTGGGGAATTTTCAGTATCCATTGTTAACATCAATTACACAAGCAGTAGACATCAGGTCTGTGTCAGGAGCAAGTGGGTGACCTGAAGAGATACCTTATGTGCTTTGAAGGTAGTGCTGGGAAGGCTTACAAGTTATGTTGAATATTTGGCATTGCTGATACCCATTTGTTTTGGGAAAGTAAAAATCTTTCCTTTGATTGACTGGTGGTCTCCGTTTCCCTCTCTGCAATGGGGATTTTTTTTTTTTTTTAAATGCTTCTCTTTCTAACTGGGTAGAGCAAGGAGAAACCTCAAGGAATTTCAGAAATGAATGTACGATTCACCTTTCTATTTTGAAGGCTAACTATTGCTTAAGGCAGATCTTGTATCTTCATTATCAGTGTCAGCACATGAAAGTGTTAAGTATGGGACTCTGTTATGAAAAAGATCATGAAGCTACCATCATTTCTTTTATACTCATAGGCACTGATCACTTTAATAAAATATAAAACACCTTGTTTAAAATAGGTAGCTTTGACAATACATGTATAAGCAGAACCTTAAATTGTGAATGTGTTCATTTTCTTCCTCCCTACTACAAATATTAAATAATAGAGCCAAGAAAAGTAGGTGGAAGATGATGCCAAGTAATTTTGGGGCATTATTACAAAGTGAAGCTGGTGAGATTTTTGTCTTTTTGACAAATTCAAGGAAGCCAGCAGAACAAATCTTGTTTCAGGAGTACATTTTCACTTAGCTGTCCTCTAAGTAGAAATGCATTACTCCTAGAAAGAAAAATGAAAGTTCATCAACTGCCGAAGACAAAATGACAGATTTGGCTTCCAGCAACACATTCTTGACAGCTACTAGAGTTTCAGGAAAAGAAAACAAGAAAATTAAATTTGACAGAAATGAAGGGGGGAAGGAATTTTTCTAGTTAGCATCTCAATGTCTTTGGAGGGATTTTAGGGCAATTCACTTACAGACCACGCAGGTCTCTCCCCCATGTTCCCCAGATGTGAATGTTATTTTAATGGAACTGCCACCCTATAGACAGGTGGTATCTACACATGAGCCCACAGACTGACTACATGATGACTTGCTCAAGACAACTTGAGAACAAACAAAAGCCATGACCCGCTTGAAAATCAATTGTACAGCTTTCCATCAGACTTCTTTTCTGTAAACTCAGGAATATACTGCAGAATTTTGCAGAAGCCTGTGCTCAAATTTGGGTTTCAGATTAAGGAGCTTGCTTGTTCCATGTTTGGACAGCTGTGTGATCCAATACTGAAGGAGCTATTAAAATGTAAATTAACTATGTTATTTAAATAAAGTACTTAAATTAATTGGTTGATTATATTTAACATGCAACCAAAAAGTCAGTTCTTCAGTCACACTAGCCACGTTTCAAGTCCTCAAAAGCCACATGTGACTAGCAGCTACCACGTCGGAAAGCATGGATGTAGAACACTGCCATCATGGTGGAAGTTCTCACTCACTGAGTTATCTCTGAGCTCAGGACACAGTCGTGGATAGTGAAGGGTGGGAATTGGGAGTAAAGTGGCACAAAAGGAGTAAGTTGGGGAGAAGAGGTTGCATCGGACTTGTGAGCAACCAGAAGGCAATACAAGTCGAGAAATAATTGCGAGCCAAGGCATGGTGGTTCATGCCTGTAATCCCAGCTCTTTGGGAGACAAGGCAGGCCAATCGCTTGAGCAGAGTTTGAGAGGAGCCTGGCCAACATGGTGAAACCCTGTCTGTACCAAAAAAATTAGCCAGGCAGCACACACCTGTAGTCCCAGCAGCTACTCAAGAGACTGAGTGGGGAGGATCACTTGAATCCAAGAGGTGGAGGCTGCAGTGAGCCAAGATAGTGCCAATGCATACCAGCCTGGGCAACACAGAGAGACCCTATATGAAAAAAAAAAAAAAAGGAAATAATTGCTAATTGCCTATGCATAATGACAGAACCTGAGGGAAGTAGAGAAGAATAAAAGAGATGTGGTCCCTTCCCTCAGGAAATTCAGAGCAGGACAAAAGAAACAGAAGTCCCATTACAAAACCACTTTAATACACATTCCAGTGCCAAAAAGGACATCTCGGGAGAGGGTGATCGAGGAGCTCATGCAGTTATAAATGGAAATTAAAGATGAGATCATTAAATGGCCGAAGGATGGGTGAAAAGGAGACCTAGGGGTAGGAGAGGAGCAGAGGACTCCACAGGGGAGATGGCAGGGATTGGAGGGAAATGTGGGGGTGGAGGTGCTGGTGAACACAAGGCTGATGTGAAGCCAGGCAGGCAGAGGGTGTAGACACCCCAGGATCACCAACAACCATTTTTTATTCATCTCTCACCACTAAATTTGAATGACATTTATTCTTATTACCTGAAATGATGGAATAGGCATGTGCTTTGGACTCAGAAAGTCTTGGGTTTTCACCCTAGCTCTACCACTGTGTACCAGCTATGTGACCTTAGGCAACTTACCTACCCTCTCTGAGCCTACCTTTTCTTTCTCATCTACAGAACTGGGAAATGATAGCTATTTTTAAATACTTTCATGAGGATTAAATGATGTGTGTAAAAGTGCTTAACAGAGTGCCTAGTACATAGTAGATACTCAGCAGGGTTAGTTTCCTTTCCCTTTCCTGAAGGAAGTGGCTACATCTGCAGGCTTTGGGGGCAGACTGCTTGGTTCAACTCCACTCTGCCTCTCATGCTGGCTGTGTGATAAGTGAGCATGCTGCATTCCAACAGAGGCATTCCCAAGTGACAGGTGAGTGTGGACATTTTACAGCTTAAGCCTGAACACACCACTGTTTGCAGCGGGAATGGAAACTATTGGCAAAAATCACTTGGTAGGATTCCATTCACACTTCTTATGTTAAGGATAAATGTTTGCCAGTTAATCTCACAGTAACAATTTGAGAACGATGGGAGAAAATCCTGAAGCAACCACTAAGAACAATTGGTGAGGGAGAGGGGACATTCAATAGGGTTTTATTTACACTTGTATGGTCAGATCTATTGCAATCTGCCCCCATAGGGACACCTCACAGCACTCCCTATTGGTTTACACTTTTAGAACTTAATCACATACATGTTGGGCTTACAGTGTTATCTTTTCTATAACAGATCATCTGCTTCCTTTTCATTTATCTTATCTCCCAAGCCAATATCCAATTTTCTTGAAGGTAAAAGCTGAGTATATGCTCTTTCTATCCCAGGTCATACCTAGCACAGTCCCGAACTTGCTAGAAAGGAGAAAAAGAGAAAGGAAGGAAAGAAAGGAGAAGCTTGTATTCGTGTTAGAAACCTGAAATAGATTATTTGATAATAAAATGGTCATACTGGGTAAGATTCACACAGTCCATTGCAGTCTAACATCTGGTATCAAGTGCTGTGTTGTGGCACAGTCTGGGCCATCTTCATGTCAATCGCAAACAACCAAGACTGTGTCTTGGAAACGTGCTAGAAAAACCCTTTAAGGCTCTGCAGCCATTACTTGTTCTAAATTATTTTAAAGAGATACAATAAATCCTTTTGCTTACACGTTATATGTCTTTTTAAATAGTACATGAATTCATTCCCTTGTAAAAGATTTGAAAAATAGGGAAATATAAAAGTAAACTATAGAAGTTGCCTTCACACCTTCATCTCACTTCCCATCCCCCTGACAAGTCCTGTTAACTATTTATTGTGTTTCCTTGACGTAATCTAACTCACTAGGTTCAAGTTGGATCCAAGCATTAGTTTTCTGTGGCTGCTGTAATAAATTATCATAAATTCAATGGCTTAAAGCAACAGAAATGTATTCCCTCACAGTTCTAGCGGCCAGAAGTCCAAAATCACTATCACTGGGCCAAAATCAAGGTATTATCAGGGCCATTCTTCCTCCAGAGGCTCCAGAGGAGAATCTGTTCCTTGCCCCTTCAGCCACTGGCGGCTGCCGACAATCCTTGGCTTATGGCCACATCACTCCTGTCTCTGCCTCCATGGTCACATTGCCTTCCCCTGTCCTGCGTGTGACAGATCTTCTGCTTCTTGTTTAGAAGGATGGCACTGTGGTGACATTTAGGGCCCACTGGATAATTCAGGATTGCCTCTCCACCTGAAGATTCTTTATCGCACCTGCAAAGACACTTTTGCAATATGTCATAACATTTGCAGGTTCCAGGGATTTGAACCTGGTATCTTCAGAGGCTATTATTCAGCCTACTCCGGTAATTTGTTTCAGTTTTTGAAAAAAACAGTAAAGTATTCCTTCAAAAACTAATGACAATAACAATAACAAAACTGCTGTCGCGACCTCATTCATGTTACTACAACTAGGAAAAGCTAATATTCTGATGAGTCTCTAACATCCCTCACCAATTTTCCTCTAAGGGACTTAATTATATTCCCTTTAAGGTCATCTGAAAAGAGTGAGATATTACTCAGGTAAATATGCAGCTGGTAATTTAAATTCAGTGCTTCAAGATATTATTTTTAACCTTCTTTTCTGTCTTCCCTTTCGCAAGGGTAACTTAACTCCCAGTGCTCCCAGCCCCTTCCGTCCTGTTGCATCAGTTTTAACCATGATTGTTCCAGCCTCATTGTCAGAGCACGTGATGAAAGATCATTAGCATCTGATGCAAGGCTGTGCTCCCTCAGTGTGCTCATACCTCAACAAGTTGGCTCCGTGCCCCCATGTGGAAACCAGGCTGCCTGGCGGTGGACCATGTGCCAGTCCCAGGAGCCCCATAGATTCTGACTTAGGAAGTAATTTTCAGGGCTTTACCTGGGAAGCAGAACTCTGGAGAATTCTGTACACAGGTGAGTTCACTAGGACAGTGAGCAAAGTGGAGGTAATGTACACTCTAGGAGGAAGAAAAAGGCAAACAGAAACCCCAGCCTCCACTGACCAACCTTCCTCTCTTGATTTCCCACTGAAAAGGCTGGATCTTCCAGAGACAACCTGGAAGTTCTTGCCTGGGGAATGTACAGTGTAGAGACTTGGCACTTTCATTTTCTCATATAATTATGCATTGAAAATGATGCTTAATATTGAGGTGATAAGGAGAAGCTGAGTTCAAGGCTTAGTACCTTCCTATATTTTATGCCCTTACTCATCCTGGCTCCATCTCACCAGTATCTATTTTACTGCAGGGAAGGAAGCAGTTAAATTTCAATATGAAACAACAGCTCCCAGAACTTTCATTTACCGCCAGTAATTACTGCTCAGGGAAAGATAAGAAATAATAATAATAAAGCATAACTCCAATTCCCCATAACCTGCCTGCTAGCTCTTTTCAGTGGCCAACATGATATTTACAATATATTTTAAGTCAAGCATGAAAAAGTTAAGAATACCAATAAACTTTATTATTTGGAGTGCTGACAAAGAGCATAATAAAGCAATTAAACACCGTGTCAAGACTGGGTTCATTACACAAATATGCCCATCCTCCTGGAGGGCTGTTGGGTGCAATAAGTGAGGTAATGTATCTAGGGTGCTCTGCACAGTGCCTGGCAAGTGGCAAAGGCTTGATAAGTAGCAGCTAGTGCTATTCTTAGCACAACAGTGGGGCCCACAAGGAAACTCCACCCAGTAGTAGGCACAGGGAGGAAAAGATATAAGAAAGAGTGCACAGTAAGAGGTGAGGAGGGAGAGAAAAGGAAGAGGAAAAAGAGAGAGCAACAGTCCGCCACAAAGTCTGACAAGTTTCCCACAGGATCATTTCTACCCCGGAAGCATAATCCAAATGGCCACTTTTATCTGATTGTTAATGCCTCCATTTGAACTAAAATTGTTATACTTTTTATTTATGTCAGAAAACATTTTCCACAGTGGAAATGCGGTTAGCTCTATTTATTTTCTTTTCTTTACAAAAATAAAAGACCCAGGTGATGATTTTTTTTCCACTCTTCATCCCTGAGATTCAATTCAGGTTTTCTTGGTTTCATGGACCATTTACCTATCTGGAATATCTGGAAAGTGTGTCTGATTGGGTAAAGCTTTCCTTCCCTGGTCGGCAACCAAGACCTCCCATAGTGAAATGAGTGAAATCTGCACCATCGCCCCTGCCCTTTCAATGTGCTAGATTAAAATAAACAGCTGACGTTCATCACCAATCTTTTGCTGGAGAGAGGGACATCGAGATTAATATTCTTCTTTGCTTATTTGTGTACTGGTCCCATGGGGAATTTGAAGAGCTTTTCAACAAGAACACATACAATACTATTATTTGTTAGAACAAAGAATCAGCAGCAACAGGGGCAAAATAAATAAAAATAGAAAGTCAAGACTGAGAAAAGCCCATTGTGACTGAAATTTAGCTGGAGAGGGAAGTATCCAGGCAGCCTGAGCAGCAACCTGGGAGCCAGAGCCCAGGAGGTCAACCTGGGGATCAGAGAGAAGGAAACAGCAGGAGCCTCTGGAATTATCAGGAGGATGGTAGGGCAGGGCACACAGAGGAGAGGCTGAAAGACCTGAGAGTCTGGACGGAGACAGTCAGTGCGCCGAAGATACCCAACTTTGGTCTTGTTATTGCAACTTAACTCTGCCCCTCATGCCCCGTTAGTGTGGCCCCAGGGAGATGTAGATTACTAGTTTCCAGTCAAGAACTCGGTGTGCAGAGAGTCTGAGATGCTGGTTAAGGGTAGATTCAGATGCTTGTGGCAAAGCAAGTGGCAAAGTGAGCATCTGCAGGGTTCCCCGTGAGCAAAACCAGGAATTTCCTGGAGACACGGAGTCTGCTCTAGCACGGCAGCAAATGAATGCTAAGCTTGTGGTGCTTTATACCACGGATCATGGCTCTGATACTCTCGGCATGGAAAATACTTAAATGAGTCTTACCAGTCATTCAGCAAGGTCAGCAGAAATAAATAAATAAATAAATAATCTCAGAAATATTCTCATGAGCAACAGCTTCCCAGTGAATCTGCCTGGGTGAATTAGCTGCACAATGTGCTCCCACAGGAACTAGATGAATACGCTTGCAGCAGGAGGGTACTAGATATGAGGCAATCCATTTTGGAGGACATCTGCCAAAAGAACAATTTTCAATTTAGAATGGTTAATATTCAGTCACTCTTTAAAAAAGAAAAACAATTAGCTGGCAGGACCACCTCTGTGCAGCAGGCCCCTCCCGGTCCCTACCATGAGGCTACAGATCAGTTAACTGCAAGGTTTACGTAGCTGCATTCTTCCATTATCTATAACCAGGCATCTGGGTGACTGCAAAGAAGATTCATGTCATTAAATATAACTTTGCAAATAGGTGACAGTGGCAAGGCACAAATCACAAATGTATCTAGTTTCTTAGCAATCCATTCTGGCTTGGCTAAACCTACTTCTTACAGAAGTATGAATATACCATGTACCAGGCTTCCTATCACATCTGAATTAATAGCATAATGATTTTTGAGTGCTATAAACCCTCCAGTTGCCTCTTCTGATTTAAAAAGTGTGTGGGAGGAATCCACTAGGGTACCTAGGGTACTTCTTCCCCAGTGCCCCTGTCCTTTATTATCTCAGGATAAGTAGAATAACGGCCCCCCAAACACAATCTCATCCTAACCCCTGGAACCTATGCATATGTTAGGTAACGTGGCCAGAGGGGATTCAAGCTGAAAGTGAAATTAAGTTGTTAATCAACTGATTTTGAAACGGGGGCATTATCTGGGGTTTTCCCAGTGGGTCCAGTGTAATCACGGGGTGCTTAAATGTGGAAGAGAGAGGCAGGAAAGTCAGAACCCGAGATATGGCATTGCCAGAAAGACTCAACCAGCCTTTGCTGGCTTTGACAATGGCAGGAAGCCTCTAGAAATCAGAAGAGGCAAGAAAGCAGATTCTCCCATAGAGTCTCCAGAAAGGAACTCAGCTCTGCCAACACAGTGCTGATTTAAGCCCAATTTTTAATTTCTCACTGTAAAATAGTACATTACTACCTTACCATGTTATTTCTCCCCAACTGCGACTCATACATAACCAGAGAGTTCACCTCTCTCTCTTCCCAGATGGCAGTGCTTCTCCAACCTTGGCTGTGCATTGGAATTCCTTGGGAATTTTTCAAAACACTGAATCCTAGGGTCCAGACCCAGAAAGTCTGATTTAATTGTTCTGGAGACTGCCCCCAAATTGGGAATTTTCAAAGCTCCCCTGACAATTCTAACATGCAGGTGAGTTTGAGAAGCACTGTCATTAACTCCTCAGTGTCTCGACAGTTTTCTGTCTCATGCTCTTCAGACCATAACTGTTTCCTATCAAAGGCTAATGAAAGAACAATACAAGGTATACTGACATATAATTGTTGACAGATTTCTTTCCATAATATGGAAAGAAATAATAATAATAGAGGGAATAACAATGATTGACAATGGAGAAGCCATACTTGAGCCTTGTCTGCTTCTCATATAAAATGTTGGCACAGGACGTTGGGTCCCTAAAGCTCTACATTGATCAGGGTTTACTTGCAAAGAACTGAATCCACTGTAGCTAGTTTAAGCAGGAAAAACTATTTATTATAGGATATTAAATGGCTTACTGAATCATTGAGAGAGTTAAATAAATACCCTCCAAATCAACCTTTCAGGAACAAAAGCTACAAAGTAGAAATGTTACCTCAGAGCTTCTACTTCTTGTGTGATCAGGAAGCAGCTGACACTGGAATCATACTGCTCCCACTACGACAAGGAAGCTGCAACAATGCAAAAGCTGCCTCATCAGGAAGTTGCGCCTGCCTGCCATGACACACACCAGCAGAAGCAATGCCCATGGCCAGCTCCTTAGTGCTCATCAACTCAGTTATCAGACGCTGGTATCTAAAAAAAAAAAAAAAAAAAAAAAAAAAAAAAGAAAGAAAAGAAAAAGAAAATGAAAATGAAAAAAAAACATTCCATGACTGTGCTTTCCAGAAAAAAAAATGCCAGAGCAGCTAAAGTACAGCCTTCACCTCACCTGCTGTCCAGATCTTGCAAAAATACTTTTAACCAGCTCAACTTAAATGCCATCCAAAACCTTAGCTGCAAGAGAGTCTGGGGAAAGTAATTTTTTTACTTTCTAATTTTTGTAGTTGAAGAAAGTACTCTAGAAGAAATCTTGAGTGGATATTGAACACCAATCCACTATAAATTCCATAGACTGTTCCTCTGACTTTTCAACATACATGCTTACTTTCTGCCTGTATTCAAAGTTCCTGTCTCTTATACCAAAAAAAGAAAAAGTACTCACTTTTTTTCAAAAGGAGAGACCCAAAGTCCTCTAAGTCTCTTCATCTATATCTATCTTTGGGTGATATTCATTTCTTCTCTAGTTCAGTCACAACCCCACCATAAATCCCATTTATATTATACAAGATATAAATTACCTTATAAAGTTAACCAACATCAGTAGGCCATTTATAAAATTGTGAGGATGAGGGAAAGGAGAAGTGGAAAATGGTTAATATATTAAAAATATACATAACAGAGAAAGGAAGAAAATATTGATGTTTATGATCGTTCTAGTTATCATCACAAGGCTGTAGTTGGCACTTATAATTTTTTTCCTCTACAACCTATTATGAGCTACTTTGGCCTCAGTCAGCAGCATAGCTGGGCCAGGCTACTGATCTGGTGGAGTCACCCAAATCTTCATTCCTAATGGCTCTGAGCCTCTGGTAATCCTGATTATACTAGATTTTGGCAGTCTTCCATTAAAAGTTCATATTAAATACGTAAATTAAATATATAATACAAATATAAGGTAACTTTTACCAGTGGGCATGACGTTACTTTGAGGTGACCCACAAGATCCCCTGGGTTCCAAAAATACTCTTTCCTGGTCCTGTTATATAACAGCAATCATATTTCCCCTTGATAATTGGGATCAATCACCCTGCTGACAAAGTAGTGACCCCTCTTTTGCCTGTTGGTTCATCAGCACAATTTGTCCAAAATGTTCAATGGCAATCTCAAATTCCAATCCAATGAGACAAACTGGCATCACATGCAACCTGATGTTTTCCATTGAGAAAGACACACATCGGTTGGGTGGTATTCCTGCCAAAAGTGCATCCCCTGAGTCTAATTGTGAGGAAACAATCCATCAGACCGGGGAAAGAGGCTAACAGACATTCACAAAACAGGTCAATGTGTCCAGTTTATTTTTTAGCAATTTCTCATCAATACATGGTTATTGTGAACAAATGCATAGGTCACACATATCCTCATATTCTGTGCCCGTCCCGTAAGTTATAGTCATATACGTCTTCTGCAGTCTTTCATGACACCAATATTCCAATCTTTTGCCTTCCAAATTTCTTTTCCCCAGCTAATCCAGTGCCCGTTAACCATAACCAATAAATCTGTGTTGACCTGGACCTCTGAACATCTTTACATTCTGGCAACATTGACAATTTCTGCCCATTGGCAGGTTTTCTTTCCCCCACTTCAGGATCACCGCTGAGTGGTGCTATGATGCTACATCAGTTGACTTTCTACTAACACAAGAATGTCATGCAGGTGCATCCACAAACTGGGCTTGATTTTTTTTCTTTTTCAGATAACTTGTTCATTGGGCCTTCCCAAGGAACCTATAGGTGCTGATTGAGGAAGAGAGTGGTGCAGTGGGTGATGTCCTAACAGCTTGAGCCTCCCCTCCTGGCTCATACAATTACAATGTACTGTGTCTTCAAGACCACATAACAGTGAAAAATGAAGAACGAGAAGACCCATTCTTGTAGCATAGGTAACCAACTAACAGCCAGCTTACGAAAAGCACACCAGGAGTTTCTCAAAGGGAGAATAG